GTTCCTTCTTCATGCATTGTGAAGAAGCCTGATGGGCGCCAGCTTTGGGCTCCACACTGCCTTTTCTCGGGTTACAGCCTCCCTGGTGCCTGCTTCTGCCTGGGGGAGCCTGAAAGGCTGCAGTGCTCTGGGAGCCAGGTGGGGTCCTTGGCCGCCAGCTGTGTAACCAGGAGTCTAACCAGCCATGGGTAAGATTTTCAGTGCACTTATTCCCTTCTAGGCACTGGGTGAAGTTTCTCTCCAGCATTATCTGGTTTGTAGTGCAAAATAGCCTCATTGGGAAGGGCCTGCAATGAGCCCCATTTTACAGATGGGGAGACTGAGGCTTAGGCAATGCCACGTACAGTCCAATGTGAGTGCATACTCATAACCATGATGATGCAGGCCTGAGAATGTAGGTTGTATTAGTTAGGGGTTGGACACAGAACAATTAGAATCAGGATATGGAGCTTATGATATTTTTATAATGGTCACTGGGAGTTAACACAAGAAAATGCAGGATTCCATCTAAAACACCAAAGACATAGAATATTTAGTCAAGGCTTGAATCCCACAGCAATGTTTTACATGAGTCCAGATGAAAACCCAGAGCTCATGACAATGCCTCCCACGAGTCCATCTGGAGGTTCAGAGCCCACAAGAAGGAGTCACGCCAGTCTCTTTACGGATCTGTGCTGGGAAGGCCCAAGAGTCAGCGGTGGAAGCCAAAATGTCTATGCCAGCAGGATGAAGGAGCTGTGCTGGTGGGATGAGAGTTCTATGCTGGAGCCAAGAAGTCACACTCATACAAAGACCAGGGTATCCTGAAAGACACCACGGCCATCCTCAGCGACACAGAGGCCCCGAGCTCCTCCTCCGACAAGCACAGTCCAGTACATGCCAGGAAGCAGCGTGACGAGTTCATCCTGGAGACCAAGTGGCGCACGTCTTCCCCTCCGGAGCCAGGAAACACTACTCTACGTGAGGACCAAAGCTTTTCCAAGAGAACCAACGGCTCAAACAGCAACTCGTAGGAGAACCCACAATACAATAATGCCTCAACACTGTAACACCCTCCTTCTCCTTCTCCACCTATTTATGCTGGCAACTTTCCTCAGGTGGAGCATCTTCACTTAGTGCCATGCTGAAGTAAATGCAGCTGGCGTTAAGTTGACCACCAGTTCTTAATCCATAGCATAGGTCGTTTGTTTTTTTTCTTTTTTGTCTTTTGAGACAGTCTCACTATGCAGTTCAGGCTGGCCTTGAGCTCACTTTGTAGCCCAGGCTGGTCTCAAACTTGCAACAATTTTCCTGCCTCCGCCTCCGAGTGGCTATCGGTGAGGTTTTGTTTGTAGACTGGTGTGGACCTCCTGGGAAGAAACGCATCAGGAGCATCTCATTTGGTTGAGAGAAAGGTAGTTAGCAAGCTTTGTCTGTGTACTTAGCACTCTCCAAAGCCTCTGAGGGCTCTTTGCAGAGGTGGGAGTGTAAGAAAGGCTGACCAGCTCAAACGCTAGCCCAGTTCTCGGTGGAGGATGCTGTGGACTCTCAGGTAGCCTACATGTTGGTGTCTTCACCTCGCAGATAAAGAAAGCGGGACACGGAGAGGCATCAGTGTTTTCTCACTGAAGTGCTTCATGCTTGCTGTGAGCCAGGTGAGCAGGTGTAAGGCTACATTCCTGCCAATTTCCAGGGCCGTGGTACCAGGCTCCAGGACGCTATGCTTAGTATCTGCCCACAGTATATGCGCGTAGTCAGCTGAGTTTTCACCTTCTGGTTTTACCTTGGGATGCTTTCTTCCTTGCAAACGGAAGGAAAGCCAGACCTGTTTATGGGTACAAATCACCCAAAACCCCACTCACACACTTGAAGGCTCTCCTCAGTCTCTCAGTCTGTTTGTTGATTGGTTTGTGGGTGTTTTTTTTTTTTTTTTTCGGTCTTTGAGACAGGGTCTCATTATGCATTTTCAGTTTGTAGCCCAGGCTGGTCTTGAACTCACAACGATCCTCCTGTCTCAGCTCCCGAGTACTGGGATTACAGGCATGAGCCACCACGCCCGGCTCTTTTTTTTTTTTTTTTTTTTTTGAAACAGGGTCTCACTGTGTAATTCAAGCTGGTCTTAAACTGACTACATAGCCTAGTCTGGCCCCGAACTTATGGTGATCCTCCTGCCTCAGCCTCCTGGGTGCTGGCATTACAGGTGTGCACCATGCTAAGCTGGTGGCGATGTAATTATGAGCAAAGCACATACAGTTCTGTCCTCATGGAATTCACTGACTCTTGAGGCGAAAGATATAAAAATCATATATAGGCCGAGTGTGGAGGCTGAGGCAGGAGGATCCTTATGAGTTTGAGACCAACCTAGGCTACAAAGTGAGCTCAAGGCCAGCCTAACTGCATAGAGACACCCTGTCTCAAAAAAAAAAGACAAACAAAACACGTAACTGTGCCTGTATCACCGTCCCCAGCTGACTTTATATGTACACATCTACTCCTAGAAAATACATGGTATTGGCTGATGTTTTGATTTTCCATAAAGCCTTTTTTTCATTTCATAGTGTCTTGCAGTTACATAGATTTGCACTCCCTTTTGTGAGTGATGTTTGTCAACATTCGATCTCCTGTTAATGTTTAGCATTGGCCCCCCTTTGGAAGGTTTCTGGTGCTACAGACAATCATGGAACAGGTGGCCTCGAACACTTGTGTGTTTCTGTGACAGATGCCAAGAAAACCAACTGCCAGGTCACAGGGTAGCTTTTTGTTCTACTCACGCTCGGTATTGTTGGAATCATGTGCTACTTTTGTGATTTTAAAAAACTAAAAAATAGAAAGAGGTAGGTAGATGGTTCGTGTTGCTGGCGCTTAGGGAGTGGAGGTGCCTGATCACTGTCATGTGACGTTATATAAGCCACTAATCATTATGTAATAAAGTCTGAAAAAGATGTTCTTCCACATCACCAAGCAGAGAAGTCACAAGCCTTTATCTGTGTTTAAAAGAGGAGAAATGTGACTCTCTTAAGAGACTTCGGGTCTCTTTGGATGGGAGATGACACTGAGTCTCTGTGACCAGGGCTTCCTGCCAGGAAAGCCCTTCTAACCTGTTTCCCTCTTGGCTGCCACAGAACCTTAGAGCTGGAAGGGACTTTTTTTTAGCAGCCTGATGTGAAAATGCAATCTTGTAACACTTGCCAAAAGGGGCGTTTTGGGTTGCTGTAAAGGCAGAAGTGTTCGCTGGGGACAGTTTTTCTCAGCTGGAGTTCCCGTGGACTCGATCGCTTTGCATCTGATTAAATGTGAGCTCATAAAGTACACAGACCTAAAGGTGCTCGGGCAAGCCACACAGGAGGCAGGGTAATTGCTGCTATTTGAATTACTGGTTCCTGGTTTTACAAATGTTTCTCCAGAATTATGTCACTGTCCCCTGAGACAAGAGACACTGGCTTTTAGCCGGGGTCATGGAGAATTACAGAGCCTGCCACCCAAGCACATCTTGGGCACCTGTTGATCACACAGCCACAGAGCTCAGGGGAGCAGGGATGAAACACCTGGGGTCGCGTGAGGTGACAGGTTAAATACACGTGTAACCCACTAGGCTGAGATCTCTGTCTGGAGAAATCAGGAAAGACTGCAGAAAGGAAGTGAGAGCTGAGCTGGGGCTGGGGGCCAAGGAGATAACCGAGGGCAGAGACACCATGGAAGCCAAAGCATCTGGAGACACGCTGGGACGGGGGTGGGCTGGAGTTTGAAGGAGCATCTGCAGGGCAGGCGCTCTGAGCGTGCTGGGGGAAGAGCAGTTGGCACAGAGTAGGCTGTGAGGTGTCTACATGTCTGGGGTAAGTTAGACACCAAATGCGTCCTTCAGTTGTAAGTGATGTTCAAGGAAGCCTTCCCCACCCCCTTCCCATACTGGTATTAATGTGTTTCCATCCCCTCCACGGCTTGTACAATGTGTGATACAAGTGTATCGTGCATCAGACAGTCATGCTTGCACTAGCAGGGCAAGATGCCCAGCAGCAAGACCTAAGCATTACAGCCATGTTGTAACGTTTTAAACCCAGAGCTTCACGCATGGTAAGGACTCTGCCACCGAGCTACATCCTTACCCCCTTTACTTTGCCCAGGCTGGCAGGGAACTTTTGAACCCTCTCCCTCAACTTTCTGAGCCCGGCTAACACAGTCTTGAATACATACTAGTCACCCTGCAAGCACCAGAGATTCAGTGGTGATGACAGTGCAGTCCTCATGGAGCTCATGGTCAACAAAGTGAGTGTGAGCACAGAGAAGCCCGTAGACAGACAGCGGTGCAGACCACGCTAATGCAGCAGGGCTTGGGACCAAGCTGCAAAGCAAGGCTTGTTCTTCCCCACTTCTACTTTCCACATTCAGGGAGGCTGAGGACTGACCGGTTATTTTCCTTGATTTAACCAGGTTAAAAAAAAAAAAAAAAAAGTAAAACCAAAACCAAAACCAAACAAAAACCCCAAATTGTATTTAGATTGCTAGCATATACCAAACGTACTAAGTGGTTTCTCTGTGTTAATTCTGACAATCTTATGAGCCAGGTATCATTATTATTCCATTTTTCAGGTGAGAAAATGACGTTCAGAGAGGTTAGGTAACCTGCCCAAAGTCAAAAATCTAATAACGTGGAACCCTCGTTCTTAACCACATCCCACAGAAAAAGTCCACAATCCTGTAAAAGCTGGAGTTCAGTCTCGCGTGATCTTGACATCTCAGTTGCTCTTTTTTTTCTCACTTGCTCTTTTCGAGCCTCGGTATTTCCGTCTGTAAAATGGGGTCAAAGGATCTGCCTATCACTCTGCTCGCTCAGGCAACAGTCAGTAAGGAGCGCAGCTCGAGGATCTTTTGAATCCGAGATGGAGCCAAATCCGGGAGGTGAAACCCAATTTCCCGGCTCACAGCAGGTTTCCATGACAACTCAACCAGCCACAGTCTAGCGGCTGAATGCCATGCGTCACTTCCGGTTCGTTTATTTCCGGGTCCCAGTCCAACCTACGGCAACGGCCATTTACAGTCCAAAGCAAGATTCTGCCCGTTCTGTGCTCGCTCGTCTGCGCCTTGCTTTTTTGTCTGCCACCATTTCTAGTCACTGCAGTCTCCGGGCATCTCTCTCTGCCCGGGGGCAGCGCGCAGCCGCGGCCTAACCTCCTTTCGGGCCCGCCCCCGGGAAGTCACTTCCGGCCCGAGTGCTTCCGGGTCGCCGCTGGCCCCCGGGTACTGGTCTCTGTACCCTGCTGCCGGCCGGAGAGCGGAGAGCCCAGCGGGGCCCGGCCCGGGCGGCGGCCGCGCCTCCCGTTTGCGTCCTTATCGGGGCGCCCTCGGCGGCAGTCGGGGTAAGTGTGGGGCGGCCGCGAATGGAAACCGTCCCGGTGGAGGGGGCGCCTGATACTGCAGTGCTCGGCGGGCCGGGGAACGAGGTCCTCTCGGCACCCGGGGCGACCGGAGGGCCCAGGTTTTCGGTGCCCGCGGGATCCCTATTGCCGTGAGGCCACCTCGGGGGCTCCCGGGACCTGCTGAGGGTGGCTTGCGGCAGCTCAGGAGGAACACCCCCCTCTTCAGCGATTAGCCTAGCCGGAGGACACCCCGAGGCCCGGACTGCGCAGTGGTCCCCAGGTCAGGCTGTCGTGGCAGACCCGGGCTTGTCCACACTACGTGACCTTGGATAAATCACTTCGTCTTGTCGCCTCAGTTGTCTCATTTGCTAAAGGGAACGGATCTGCTTGCTAGGGTCGGAGTTGGATGAAGTGAGATAACGCAGGTCAAGCACTGCCTGTGGTATTCAGCCGTCATCCAGTAAGTGAATGATAACTCGTGTGACTTCATTCGCAAGCCCGCAGGGGTTCAGGGTGTAGCTCAGTGGTACCGCGCTTGCCCAGCATACCAGAGGCCTCGGGGTCCAGCCCCAGCACCGCAGAAACTAACCCATGGGGAAGCCCGGGGCTGAGACTGGTGTGTTTTTCCCAATTGATATGGCCCTCGGAGGCGGGGGAATCACCTAGCTGGGAATAGCTGTCACCAGCTTCTGTCCACTACAGGGAATGGACACACCTTCCTTCCCAGCCCCTCAGAGGCAGCTGTCCTGAGGGAAGTCGCTTTCAGCCCGGCTCAGGTTATTTTCAGAGGTTTGGGGTGGCCTCCCTGAATGTCTCTGGAGGCTAATGTGGGTGTTGGAACCCTCTAGGGTTTCACAGTCAGGGGCTTTTTTGGATGTGAGTGCTGAGGGTCCTGCTTGGAGCCGGTGCACAGAGGTGAAGTGGGGAGGGCAGAGTGGGTGGGAACCACCTTGCCCTGCTTCTGTTTGGGGGCTGAAGCTAAACCAGGGATGTGTAAACCTGTGGATCCAGGCAGTGCAGGGACCAAAATAGCTTCTGTCTGTGCAGGGAGGGGCGCCTTCTGATGCTGCTTGGGAATGTTTCTGCTTGAATGGGCGAGCTGAGGTAAAGCCAAGCCGGTGCTTTGCCACATGGAGTCATTTCAGTTCTGTTCAGCGGAAATTTAAACAGATACGGTTTTCCCTTTAGATGCTTTTTAAAAATCATTAGAAAAGCCACTGCACCCTTGACTTATGCAGTTTCTCCGCCTCTCCGTGGACTTGCTTTACAAACTGGTCCACATTGTGAGTGCGGGAGGTGAGGACCAGCGCTGCTTGTCTTTGCATTCAGGATATTCAGAGCCGTGGGTTTTTTTTTTTTTTTTTTTTTTTTTTTCCCCTGCTAGCCTGGCACGGCTTGGCGTATCAGTCTTTGGGTTGCTTGGAGAAATTAACAGCTTCTGTCGCAGGGCTGTCTTGGTCTTGTGTAACAAGGCTGTTTTTGCAGAGTATATTTTTTGTTGTGCTTGCAGTGTACTGGGAATAAATTGCTGGCTCTGTGCTCAGAAAAGACATCAGCTATGACCAGCCACAAGGCAGCCTGTGTTCTCCGAAAATGTATTCAGCAAAGATGATGTAACCGCTTCACCGCTGGCCAGCCTCATTCCTTGGCCCTTGAGGTTACATCATAGAGATCTGTGGCTCTCCCAGCCCCATTCTGTATGGGTGGCTGGACATTTTGCTACTAGAGGAATTTTTAGAATTCAGTTCTGCTGGCCCTGCCATAGGTCATTTTAACTGAGCTGAGCCTTTCTTTCTTTCTTTCTTTTTTTTTTTTTTTCTTTTTCGTTTTTATCGGTACCGGAGACCGAACTCACGACTGCCTGCTTGCAAGGCAGGTGCTTATGCCGCTGAGCTAAATCCCCAGCCCCGTGCTGAGCCTTTCTAAGTAGAGCTGTCCAGCGTCGCTGGATGCCTGGTGGCAGTGTCAGAGATTTGGTGTTTGACTTTGGCACACATCCCTTGGGGCTTACAGCAAGTAGGTTGGCCTCCTGATTCTCAGATTCTTCTTTGATTTTGGGGTCGTCATGTAGATATCATTGGTTTTTGCAGAACAGTTGACACAGGGCCTTCACACACTGAATCCCCTGGTAAATGACACCCATTGTAACAGTAAACGAGGAGGAGAACAGGAGAAAACCAGTCCTCAGGGCCTGCCGGACTGAGTTCAAATTTCAGTATTAGCTGTGCATAGTGGTGCACACCTTGTAATCCCAGCAATCAGAAGGCTGAGGCAGGAGGATTGCTGTGAGTTTGAGGCCAGCCTGGGCTACATAGTGAGTTCAAGGCCAGTTTGAACTTCGTAGTGAGACCCTGTCTCAAAAATAAAAACAAAATGAAGCAAAAGAAAATTCCAGTACTGACCCCTTATGGTCTATTGGGCAGGTTGCTCAATGGCGGAAGCTGGCTTCTTCAGAGTTTCTTTGAGAATTAAATGGGGTACAGTTGAAGTGGAGCACCGGGTGCTGGGCACACAGTGGAACCTTACTAATTGTCAGTCTCATTCTCCTTTTCCTTAATTACTTAGTGTTACTTTACTTTTAGTGTTCCATTTTCCCTCACCTTTTCTCTCTCCTTTTGAGGTTGGATTAAAGTTCTTATTGAGGGGCCTGGGGATTTAGCTCAGTGGCTTAAGCGCCTGCTTGGCAAGTGCCAGGTTGTGAGTTTGATCCCCGGCACCAAAAAAAAAAAGTTTTCTTCTTCTTTTTATTGGTACCGGGGATCGAACTCATGACCGCTTGCTTGCAGTGCAGGTATTTATGCCACTGAGCTAAATCCCCAGCCCCCACAAAAAAGTTCTTGTTGGATAGGTTTCCCAACCTTGTTTCTAGAACTTTGAACAGGTCAGCTGTACAGATCCATTTCCTTTTTACTGTTCACAGCAACAACAAGGGTGTGGACTGGGATAGTCTCTCTGCTGCTAGAGTGAGGATGCGGGCTGTGGAATGGTACAGGCCCACAGAGCAGAGCTGAAGAACTGAGTTTGAGGATGGCTGACTTCCACTTCGTTTACAAAAACAAATTGCCAGGCGTGCCAGGTGCATAGCTGTAATTCGAGCACTCAGGAGGCTGAGGCAGGAGGATCATTGTAGATTTGAGGCCAGTCCGGGCTACATAGTAAGTTCAAGGACAATCTGAATAACATAGTGAGACACTGTCTCAAAAACAAATCAGCCTCTAATGGGCAGGGGTACATTTGAGTGGTACAGTGCTTGTGTACTGTGCACCACAAGGCCACAGCTTTGATCCTCAGTGTTGCAAAACAAAACAAACTCTGAGCTTATGGCCGACTTCCTTTGAGAAAAAAAAATCACGGCATCCTTCATGTCTTTTTTTTCCTTCAGTGCTGAGAATCTAGGGCCTCATGCTTCTGGGCAAGTGTTTTACCACTGAACCTATCCCCAGCCCCTTGATGTTGATTTTAAGTGGCTCTCAGACATGCTAGAAAGTAGCCCTGGAACCAGAGGCAGGATGGAAGCTTCTCTTGCAGAAATAAAGCCCAGCAAATGCATAGAGTATCAGCCAGAACAGCAGCAGGCGTCTTTTTGGAAGGCCCCTTGTTAGGTTGGAAGAGATCGCCTTTTTTTTTTGGCACGGGGATTGAACTCACCACCTCACGCTTGCCAAGCAGGTGCTGAGCTAACTCCCCTGCCCAGATCACGAATCTTTGATATTGGGTGCTGAGCGCTGCAGTTACGGAAGGCAGCTGTGTCCCCTTCACTGCGGGCCTCTTCCTGACCTGCTCTGGACAGGAGGTGGGTGCTGTTGGACTTGAGACTCATGGCAGTCGGGGAAACCCTGCCCAGGGGTCAAATGGGTAGGCCAGGCGTGGAGCCTGGGACCGCCTCCTGCTGACCTCAAGGCTGCCTGCAGGGTGTCTTGCCATCTTATGGGTCACATTTCTTTTCTCTCCAGCTGATGCCCAGGATGCATAGGGGAGGGGATCGCATGTGCTCACCTCCTGTGCATCATCCATGTCACCGGCTCTGTCAGACCCTTCCTGTGTGTCAAGGTCTGTGTTAGGTATGGTGGAAAATGGAAGCAGACACCGTCCTTGCCTTTTTGGGGTTTACTGCTTATTGAGGGTGGTGACAGAGAAGTGAACGCCCAAAGTTGATGATTTTAGGAGTGGCCATTCCTGGGTGACGTGACAGGAGGAACCAGAGAGTGGCCGTGATTTGAGATGAAGGGGCACGTGGCTTGGTGGCAGCGCGCCTGTAGTTCCAGCTACTTGGAAGACTGAGGCAGGGGGACCACAAGTTTGAGGCTAGTTAGTGCAACATAGTGAGACTGTCTCAAAATGGAAACGGCTGGGTGGAGTAGGGCAGCGGTGGAGCATTTGCCCATCATGTGTGAGGCCCTTGGTTCTGTCCCCAGCAGTGCCACAAAAAAAAAAAAAAAAGCCTCCGAGCAGGGCCATCCGAGCTGAAGCCTTAATGATGAGGGAACCCAGCTATGGGGAGAATCAGAAAAATGCATGCAAAAGGAACCCATGCGCAAGACCTGGGATGGAAATAAGCACGTTGTAATCTCGGACCCAGGATCCCTGGAGGTGCAGCCTGGCGGGGAAGCCTGCTGTGCTGTGTCCGGCCACGCAGGGTGGACCGTGCTCAGGAGGCAGAATTTCTTCCTGCGCGGCCTGCTGTCTGGCTCCTTCCTCCTCAGGGTTAGCTGTTGCTGTAGCGCCGGGGTTCTTGGGCAGGGTAGTAAGTGGGAGAAGGTGGTCTTTTTGTATCCCTACATTTGTTTTTTTTCTTGCACTGGGAATGGAACCGTATTACATGGTACATATTTTTTGTTTTGTTCTTTTTTTTTTAATCGGTACCAGGGATCGAACTCATGACTGCCTGCATGCAAGGCAGGTGCTTATGCTGCTGAGCCAAATCCCCAGCCCCCTGTTTGGTTTTTTGAGACAAGGTCTTGCTATGTAACCCAGGCTGGTCTTGAACTTATGGGAATCCTCCTGCTTCAGCCTCCTGCCTGCTGGAAATACAGGAATATGCCACCATGCCCATCCCTGGCAAGGATGATTTTCTTAGCCCATAGTTGCCAGGTCCTAGGCCTGTAAGACTCCCCCACTGAGCTGGAGCTAGAGGACTTCATCGGCCATCCCTGGCCCCCAGCAGCTTCTCTCCCAGTCCCCTGCCACTTCCTGTGGTCTGTGGGTCATACGGTACTTTTGGAGCACGTACTCCGCCCCAGGCAGCCCCACTCCATGGTGCTTTGAGAAAGCCTGGCGTCTTGAGGGTAGAGTGTGGTCCGAGCAGGAGCGGCTTTCGAATGCTTCCTCCAAGCCAGCCTGCCGTGTAGCGCTTGCATGCCTTTGTACAGACACTCACACTGACTTGGATTCAGATGAGAAAACACCAGAGAGCTGAGTGATTAGCCCAAGTGACTTGGAGGAGCGGCCCTCTGTTTCACACCCCGACACTGTGGCTCTGGACCCTGTGTTCTTACTTTCTTTTTGTTTTGTCTGAGATGGAGTTTCACTATGTAGCCAGGCTCGCCTTGAATTCACAGTGATCTGCCGGCCTTCTCAGAACTAGATTTCAGAGGTTGCCACCACCTCCGCTTGCCCTCCGTGGTCTGTGCCCGCCATAAACCCTGATTGCCCCTCGAGTTGCTGCAGCAAGAACTGTGCTGGACCTGCGCAGCTTCCCCTGACAAGTGGCTGAGGCCAGAGCGCGACTGCGTAAATCTGTGTCCCAGCTTGGAGCAGGCTCTTCTGTCCGACAAGGGACTTAAAATGCGCTTGCCGCAGAGGCCATGCAGCCGGCACAGCACTGCTGGGGAGACAGCGCCAGAGTGGGGCGCTCTGCACAACTAAATGTGGTCCCATCCGGCTCCAGCTTGCTTTGAACTCTTCAGTGGCTTCACATGACTCTGAATAAGCAAAACATGAAATTCTGTGTTTCCCTCTGTGCCGGGGAGCTAACCCAGGGCCTCACACAAAGCAGGTGTGCTCCCTCTAAGCCCTCACTAAGACGTGAAGTCCTTCATTTCCTCTTGGAGGCCTTGGGTCAGGCCTGCTCCTGTCTCTCCCTCTGCTGGCCCAGCCTTGGCCTCAGCCACCTTCCTGCCTCAGAAAAGCAGGGTGTGGCGGGAAAGGCGTGGACAGCCGCGGTGCCGAGCTGGGCTCTGCCTGTGGGAGCTTGGAGCCTCTGCATCCTGGGTTTGCCCAGAGCCTGCAGTGGCTGCTGTCTCCGAGGCTGCTGGGCGTAAACGAGCCAGCATGGTGGATGCCTCTGCAGCATTCTGCAGCCTTCGGTCGGTCGGCATCACCTCCTCCCTGCGGAGATGGTGCCTACCCCGCTCTCTCACCCGGGCGGCAGGCGCAGCCTCTGTGTCCTCTGAGCTCCTCAAGGCACAGGCGGCCTTAACGGCTCCCTCTCACCTTCACCTTGTGTGCAGGAGCGCTCTGCATGCGTGCTGCCTGGCCGAGCGAGTGGCGTTTTGTTTGGCCTCGGCAGTCAGAAGGTGGGGTGGCCCTTCTCGGGAGTGACACGCTGCTTGTTTCTCCCCCCAGAGCACCGCGCTGGTCCAGCAGGCAGCATGTCAGGGCTTTTGGTGATATCCCTGCCTGCCACCGAGAAGCCATGGAGGAGATGAGGTAGCCTCCTGGATCAGATGGGGAAGCCCAGTTCAATGGATACAAAATACAAGGATGACTTATTTCGGAAGTATGTGCAGTTCCACGAGGGCAAAGCGGACACCACTCCCAGCAAGCAGCGGCCTGGCGGCGATGAGTACCTCCGCGTGGCGGCTTCGACCCTGCTCAGCCTGCACAAGGTGGATCCCTTTTATCGATTCCGGCTGATCCAGTTCTATGAGGTGGTGGAGAGCTCCCTGCGCTCGCTGAGCTCCTCCAGCCTGCGGGCTCTGCACTGCGCCTTCAGCGTGCTGGAGACGGTGGGCATCAACCTCTTCCTGTACCCGTGGAAGAAGGAATTCCGAAGCATCAAGGTGAGTCTGTGGCGTGGCTGGCCACGCTGGTATTCCTTCTCCTTTCCTGTGCCTTCCAGCCCATCCCCAGAGGGGTTCTGCCCTCTGAGCCCCTCCCTCCCCTGCCGTCGGAACCCCAGGGTTCCTGTTCCTGGGAGGGGCAGGCAGGGGCATGGAGGTGAGAGGATCCTGCAGGCTGCCAGGTGGGGAAGGTGCAGGGGGCAGGCGTGTGGTCTTCAGATCTTCACCAAAGGGCCAGAGGGAATCGTCTTGGTGCTTATGGGGAGTTCTCCTGAGAGCCTGTGCCCGTTAGGAGCTGGGTTTGCGCTGGGCTTCTCTGCCTGTGGAGTGGTGCCTTTGTGCCCGCCCAGAAAGCTAGTGGTTTTGTCTCCTCAGCCTCCAAGAGAGGCTGCAGTGCAGTCTCCTTGCTCGGTGCCCAGGGCTTCCCGTGCACGGCTCTGCCCACTGCGGGAGCCGCTCCGAGACTCTGCTCCCCTCTCCTTTCCTCCCGGGCCCTCGGAGCGGCCCTCGCTTTGATGCAGTCTCTGTGTCTGAGACAGCTCCAACCTCTGTTTCTGCCCCTTCCCCAGACCTACACAGGCCCTTTCGTTTACTATGTCAAGTCCACGCTACTGGAAGAGGACGTCCACACCATCCTGAGCTACATGGGCTATGAGCCTGAGCTGGGGACTGTGTACAAGCTCAAGGAGCTTGTGGAGAGCCTCCAGGTGAAGATGGTCGCCTTCGAGCTCTTCCTGGCCAAGGTGGAGTGTGAGCAGATGCTGGAGATTTACTCGCAGGTGAAGGACAAGGGCTACTCTGAGCTGGACGTCGTGAACGAGCGCAGGAGCAGTACAGAGGATGTGCGCGGCTGTTCTGATGCCCTGCGGCGGCGGGCCGAAGGCCGGGAGCACCTGACCACTTCCATGGCCCGAGTGGCGCTCCAGAAGTCGGCCAGCGAGCGGGCGGCCAAGGACTACTACAAGCCCCGCGTGACCAAGCCCTCCAGATCTGTGGATGCCTATGACAGCTACTGGGAGAGCAGAAAGCCGCCCCTAAAGGCCTCGCTGAGCCTGCGGAAGGAGCCGGGGGCCGATCTGGGGGAGGACCTGCAGGACGAGATCATCCGCCCGTCCCCATCGCTCCTGACCATGTCCAGCTCACCCCACGGCAGCCCCGATGACCCTCCTCCCACCTCCCCCAGCAACGGCCTCGGGCTGCTGCGCAGCACCTACTTCTCCGCTCAGGACGATGTGGACCTGTACACCGACTCGGACACCAGGGCTGCGTACCGCAGGCAGGACGCTCTGCGGCCGGACGTGTGGCTGGTTAGGAACGACGCCCACCCCGCCTACCACAAGCGCTCGCCCCCCGCCAAAGAGTCTGCCCTCTCCAAGTGCCCAAACTGCGGCCTGGCCTGTAGCGCTCCCCTCTGCCAGCGCTGTGACAGCCTGCTTGCCGGCCCCCCGACCCCCAAGGCCAGCGCCTTCCCCATCAAGGCTGCCGCCCTCGACAGCCTGGGCCACGGGGCACCTCTGCGGGAGAAGCACTCGGGCCAGGCTCAGGCCCTTGACCGGCTGCCACCCTTGCACTCCAAGTCCAAGCCGTCCACAGCAGCCACCTCGCGCTGTGGCTTCTGCAACCGCCCAGGTGCCACCCACACCTGCACCCAGTGCTCCAAAGTCTCCTGCGACACCTGCCTCAGCGCCTACCCTTACGATCCCTGCTGCAAGAAAAGCGAGCTGCACAAGTTCATGCCCAACAGCCAGCTGAACTACAAGGCCACGCCGTTCTCCCACCTCGTGTTCAGATAGGCCCCGGCACCTCCCGCTCCAAGGGCTACCCCTGACCTCCAGTTCCTTGCAAAGGCGCACTAACGCATCCAGCAGAAGCGGAGGCCTGGACCTGACCGTGGAGGTGGCGGGGATCCGGCTGGCTGCACCTGTTTGGGAGTCCACTTAGGGCCTCCTTTCAGCCGACCAGGAGAGGTGGCACTTATTCCGCGCAGCTTTGCTGATCTCCGCACTCCCTGTTCAGTTGAGTTTGGGTTCCGTTTGGTTTTGCTCTTTCCTCTGAGGAGGATTCTCTCTCCGGGGTCCCCCCCACCCCCCGCAGTGAGACGGAAAGGCCCCTGCGGTCCCCTCCAGATGCCCACCTGCAGCAGCGAGCTAGAGGCCTGTTGGCTCGGGAAATGAGCCCTCCTGCCACACTGGGCCTCTCCTGACGGCTCACCCGCTGGCCATGCGTCCCGAATGCAAGGATCCCAGCCAGGCTCCTGGCCCCCCAACCTTCCTGCCCCTCCCCGAGTCAGAGGTGAGGGGCGAGGCCGGTGTTGCCCAGTGTCCTCAGGGCGTTGCCACCGCAACTGTGTCAGCCAGGGTGTCTGCGAGCCTCCCCCGACACGCTGGGACCGGACTCCGCAGCAGGACCGACCTCTGTCCCTCTCTGTTGTTTGCACATGTCCCTCTTACTGTACTGTACATAGATATTTTTGAGATTTATTTTTAAATAAATATTCAACTTGCTATGTGTTTCAATGAAAGTGGTTAAAAGTTAATTATGTAGCTATTTATAAAGACGCCCTGGGTTCTCAGTCTTCCAGGGGCGGCCTCGTGCCCTTCGCTGTTGTGTCCTCCACTCCCCAGGGTGGGGTGGAGCCCGCGACCGCTTTGCTCCAGTCGGGGGAGAGCCACTGTCCTGCCGCAGGACCTCGATACACCTACCTCCAGGGCGCACTCGCACTCGGGCGGGGTTAGCGGGGGACTGAGGTCTGGCCCATGGACTGCGACGACGACCGGTGGCGGTTCCAGGACCTCGCCCCTCGGATGACAGCCCTGGTCTTGCACCCCAGACTTCCCGGACTCGTCCAGGAGGAAGTCCGCGGGGCTCCCGCTGCCCAGTCCCCGGGTTCCCAGCACTCACCTGCAGCGGCGCTGTCCACTCCTTTGCACTAACAGCGGGCAGCTGCCGGTGCGCCCCTCGCCTCCGCCTCCTGACCGAAGGCCCTGCGTCCCCGTGGGAGTCACGAGATCAGGATTTCCCTCTTGGGGTCAGAACAGGAGTGGGGCAACGATCAGAGAACGAGCTGCCTCCTTGTGAACTTCTGTTTTAGCCATAATTGTCTGAGCTGCACTCTCGGCTGGGAATTTCTGCACCGCGGGGTTTCTGGGAAGAAGAAGCGTTCAGCTCCTGAGCGGGTTTGAATCTGGCTGAACCTGAGGCCACTGTGAATTTGCCGATGTTCTTCCAACTCAGTCGAGTGGTTTTAAGGTTTTCCAAATCTTCTACGGCCCCTTTTTATATCTCTCTGGAAGATCCCGTGTAGATAAACAGTGTGTATATAGAGTTGAGTCCCAGCGACTTTGTTACTGAGGACCAGCCTGTCGGGCATCCATCGTGCTGTGCTTCCTTCTCACGTTTCGGAACTGGGACGCCTGACCCACTTGAGAGCTCTAGTTTTCTAGTTTCCCATTTCTAGATCACTCAACATTACAGTAACTTAGCTCTTCACCAACTGTGATGCCACATCATTTACGGTGGGCAAATTTGTCCTAAAAAACCAAGTCTAGTGTACCTGCCATCATGGAAATACTGTGTTCATAGACGGGAGTAGGAGTCCTGCGGCCACCCTCCTCCTCGCTGTGTATCTTACTGTATGGGGCTGCTGTGATTAAGGTAGTTAAGTATATGCTAATTTAAAACACAGATGTTCTGCATTTGATTCCTACCCAGAGTTGAAATGTTGAGAGATGATTTTAAAATATAATAAAAGTGTCTTCCATTGTTAAATGAAGTATTTTGGGGTTTTATGTCCTCTGTCTTCCCTATTTCTTTTTTATTTTTTATTTTATTGGTACATTTTAGATACATAGTGATCACATTCATTAGAGGAAGTTTATACTTGTACACATTTCTTGATTTTCCCTGCTTTGAAGTTTGAGCTGCAAGCCATGTTTTATGTTTTGCTCTGCTTTGTGTTTGGAGATAGGGTCTTGTGTAGTTCGTGCTGTCTTTAGCTGTGTAGCCAGGCTGGCCTTGAAGTCCTGGCAGTCCTTCTGCCTCCGGCTCCCACGTGCCGGGATTATAGACCTGTGCTGCCCTGCCTGGTTTGGAAGCCATGTGGAGTCCTTTAGGGCGGGACTCCAGTCCCCGCTGCACTAACCTGACAAGTGATAGCTGGCCCTTGAGTGCAGGGCTGGTGGCCCTTGTGCACGGAGACTCCGAGCGTGATCTTTCCATGCGATGGTCCCAGTCGCCACATGCTGAGCTGCTGTTGGTCCCCCAGCTGCCTCGCCTTCCAACAAGAAGACGGGTATCATGCTCAGAGCCTGCAGCAGAATCTTAGCTGAGCTTTCATTTACCTTCTGTCAAAACAGGTTTTACCGTTTTTTCATCTGCCGTAATATTTACTTTACAAGTTAAAGGAAAAATACTGATTTTAAAGGGCTGGGGTTATAGCTCAGTAGCACAGTGTCTGCCTGGCAGTTGTGAAGTCTTGAGTTTGATTCTTGGTACAACAAAAATTGATTTAAAGCAGTTGGGAGGCTGAGGCAGGAGGCCTGCCAACAGTTAGAGACTGGCCCGGACTACAGAGTGAGTTCAAATCTAGCCCAAACTACATAGAGAGACCTTGTCTCTAAAACCTGAACAAACAGCAAAACAAAGGCGCCGGATAGCAGTATGAAGAGAGCTGCTGTGTCTCAGTCGTGCTGGCCTTAAGTACAGCAGGACCTCCGCCTGCCCTGCTGTCCCCTCTTCGGGTGACCTCTGCTGTGGGAGAGGTCTCTCCGTTTCATGCCTGCTGAGAAAGTACCTAGGCCCAGGGCCAGGGCAGGGCCCAGGAAAGGGCAAGGCTGGGGCAGGCCCGGGGCAGCAACCGGCCAGAGGCGAACCCGGGTCCAGGCACAAAGCCAGTCACATGTCAGCATGCAGGGCGGTGGGGACTTCCCAGCAGATTGTCTGTCTGCAGGGGACGGCAGGCGGAGTTCAGCCTCTCCAGCTCTGCCAGCTGCACAGCATCCACGTGCTGCCAGCTCAGGGTGCCGGTTGGTGGCACCCTGTTGTGCCTGCTGGCCTGTCGTGGTGCGTGGGAATTGTGGCAGGCTCCATCTGCAGTCGCCCATCTGCCTCGGTGACAGAGCCCTCACTTTAGATCTGTGGCCACCCAGAAGGGAGGCCGTGTTCCCAGCCTGTCCTGCAGCCAGATGTGGGCATGTGACCTGTTCAGCTTTGTGTGACTTCTAGGAGATGGCCTTCAAAAGGGAGGCTCGCCATGTGCGGGAGGACATTTCCCGAGTAGGTGGAGGGTCACAAGCGCAGAGGTTTGAGATCAGTCCTGGCAGCTTAGCAAAGAAACGGAAGGAAGCTGCCTTTCCCAGTCTGAACCTTCCCCTGGAGCGGCCGTGAGGGCGGGGAGCTAGATAGAGCAGCCCCGCTAGCTCAAAAAGATGTTTTAAAATCTTTTTGTGAAGGATATTGCTATGCAGTTCAGGCTGGCGTTGGGCTCACTTTGTAGCCCAGGCTGGTCTCGAACTTAAAACAGTCTGCCTGCCTCAGCCTCCAAAGTGCTGGGATTACAGGAGCGCACCACCACGCCTATCTAAAAATGAGCTTTATACATTTTAGGTATGCATAATGGTCACATTCATCACAGAGTCTACCTGCACGCATGTAACTGACCTCTCTGTTTCCGCTCCCCTCCCCTCCCGCTCTTCAAGCCCCCCTCCCTGCCCCATTTACAGAGGCTTTGTTTCCATTTTCCCTTTCCCTTTCTATCCCCCCCCCCCATTTGAACGTTTCCTTCCTGTTTCACAGTGTCTGCCACACATTTGGGTCTTTGTCCACACTTGCAGTTTCTCACACCAGGGAAATAGTGTGGTATTTACACTTGTGTCTGACTGACTTCACTTAAGAGTAAGTCTCAAGGCGCACCCATTTGCCTAGAAATGTCTTGCGTATGCCCTTCTTTATGGCAGAGTAGTACCCCATCCTCTAAAAAGCCCACATCTTGGCCCATTCACCAGCTGATGGGCACGCGGACTGTTTGCAGGGTCTGGCGGTTAGCAGCGGGGTCGCTGCAGCATGGCTGCGCGGGGGTCACCGTGCTACAGCTTCTTTGGGGAAGGTATTAGGAAGAGGGACAGCTGTTTGCAGCAGTCCTAGCTTTTTTTTTTTTTTTTGTTCTTTTTCGTTTTTATTGGTACCAGGGATTGAACTCACGACTGCCTGCTTGCAAGGCAGGCGCTTATGCCGCTGAGCTAAATCCGTAGCCCCAGTCCTGGGTTTTTGAGAAGTCTTCACTGATTTCCACAATGGCTCCCCATCTACCACTCCCCCCAGCAGCGGAGAAGGCTCCTTTCCCCACAGCCCCTGCAGCCTTTGTTATTCTGTAATGTCTTGATAGCAGCCATTCTTTCTGGGGCAAGATGGAATCTCAGTGCTGTTTTAATTTGCATTTTTTGAATGATCAATAGTGAACATTTTTTCATGTATTTATTTGTCCACTATTTCTTCATTTGAGAAGTGTCTGTTCAACTTCAGGTGCTCAGTTTTTGGATCTTTGAATTTGAGGCACCTGCTATTTCTGAGTTCTTTATGTAAGTCTACATCGTAGTCCTTTGTCTGAGGAAGAGCTGGCAAAAATATTTTTCCCACCCCGTACGTTGTCTCTTCACTCTGTTGGTGTTTGTCTTGTGGCGCAAAAGCTTTTTTTTTTTTTTCTTGGTCATTTTGAGTCATGGGCTTGCCGTGCAGCTCAGGCTGGCCTTGAGCTCACTTTGTAACTCAGGCTAGTCTTGAACTCAGTGATTTCCTGCCTCAGCCTCCTGAGTGCTGGGATTGCAGATGTGCACCACCACACCCGGCCAAAAGCTTTTTAATAAGATGACATCCCAGTTGTTGATTCTTTGTGAAAGTTCCTTTGTAATTGGTGTTTTAGTCATAATGTCTGCCTATACCCTCTGAGTTCTACCCGTTCTCTCTTCCAACAGAGTGTTCTGTCCTAATATTTAGATCTTTAATTCATTTCAATTTTAGTTTAGCGCATGGTGAAAGATACAGGTCTAAACTTAATCTTCAGCATGTGGAGGGCCAGTTTTTCCAGCACCATGTAGTAAAGAAGCTATCATTTTCCCGATGAATGTGCTTGGCCCCTGTGTTAAAGGTGGCTAAGTACTCTGGAGTTGTTTCTGCGCCTTGTACTCTGTTCCATTGACTCTAGGGTCTTTCTCTCTGTCTCTGTCTGTCTTTTCTTTTTTTGGGCAGGTACCGTGCATGCTGTTTTTATCACAGTAGCTCTGTAGTATAATTTCAAGTGAGGGATTGTGATGTCCCTTGACTTCCTCTTGTTGCCTAGAATTACCTATGCTACTCTAGGTCTTGTTCCAAATGAATTTTAGGATTGTTTTCTCTAATTCTGTGAGATAGGCAGTTGGAATTTTGATTGGAATTGCATTAAATCTGTATAACAATTTTGGAAGTGTGGCAATTTTCCCTATACTGAGTCTTTCTACCCAAGAGCAAGGGATATCTTTCCATTTTCTGATATTCTCTTCAGTCTCCTTTTTCAGATTAGCGTACTTTTTAGTGCAAAGATCTTTTATGTTGTTGTTAGATGTATTCCTGCGTATTTCTTTGTTTTGGATGGGACTGTGGAAGGTACTGTTTCCCTGAGTTCTCTCAGTGTTTGTCATCTGTGTACAGAAGGCCAGTGATTGTTGAGGGCTGACTTGGTATCCAGCTACACTATTGAGTTTGGTCATTAAATCTAGAAATCTTTTGGTGGGGTTTTTGGTGTGTTCTACGTAGAATATTACCTGTGAATAATGATAATTTAATGCCTTTTCCCCCCTATGTTTTTCCTCTTATTTCTTTGTCTTGTTTAATTGCTCTGGCTAAAATTTCTAGAACTGTATTGAATAAGAGTGGTGACAGTGGACCTCTTTGTCTTGTTCCTGATTTTGGGAGTAAAAACTCAGTTTTGGACCATTTAGTATGATGTTGGCTGTTGGTTTGTCATAGATGGCTTTTAGCAGATTGAGATAAAGACCATCTGTTGCAATTTTCTGTAGGGCTTTTATCATGAATGGGTGTTGGACTTCCTCAAAGCTTTTTCTGCCTCTATCGAGATGGTCATATGGTTTTTGTCCTTGGCTCTGTTAATATGGTGCATTACATTTATTGATTTGCTTCTGTTGAACCATCCCTGTATCCTTGGGATGAATCCTGCTTGCTCATGGTGTATAATCTTGATTTGTTGCATTCTGTTTGTGAGTATCTGGTTGAGTGTTTTTGCATCTATGTTCAGTAGGGAGATTGGCCTGTAGTTTTCTTTGTTGGTTGGTTTCTCTCTGGTTTTGGTATCAGGGTAATGTTTGCTTCCGGGAATGACTTTGGGAGCTTTGCTTCCCTTTCAATTTCATTAAAGAGCTTGAGAAATAGCAACATAAGGTCTTCTCTAAATTCCTTGTGAATCTGTTAGGTCCTGGGTTTCTCTTTGTTGGTAGGTTTTTAAATACATCTTTAATTCTATTGATTGATACCGGGTTATTTAGGATTTTTGTATCTTCTTGATTCAACTTTGGTAATTCACATGTATCTAGCAATGTGTCCATTTCTTCTGCATTTTCCATCTTACTAGAATACAAGTTCTCAAAGTAGGTATAGATAATTTGGATTTCTAGAGAATCTGTGGTGATTTTACTCTTTTCATTCTTAGTTGTGTGGATTTGAGCCTTCCTTCCTTCCTCTTTCTTTCTGTCTGTCTTTTCTTTCTGTCTGTCTTTCTGTCTTTCT